ACACACACACACACACTACAATGGACTTGGATAGTCACCTCCATGTGTTGTAGAAGAGCAGGGGGATGTTGAGGCCCACAGTCAGCCACTCCTGGGCGCACAGGAACATGATGCAGAAGAGTCCATGGATGGAGTACTCTGGTAGCACCAACTAGAAAGAGACAGAAGCAGGAGGAAGAGGAGGATGAGTCAGAGAAAAGAGGAGTAGAGCAAGGAGCAATCGATTATTCACACTTAAATCACTGCTAGAGCTACTTAAATGTCGACAAGCAGAGAGTCAGGCTCCAACACTCTTCCTCCTTCACTGCATTGCCGGAGATTATTGTTACTAAATGCAAATACTGCTCAAATGACATTTGCTCGAATATAAGAACAGCATGGATGAAGCAACACTATATTCAACTAAACTAAAGGGCAGTTGGTAAGCAGATACCACATTATAATTTTAATGCCCACAGGTGTAAGAATACACCTCGGGTATCATCATTAGCATTCAAATCCTTAGCCTAGCCTATATTTAGCCACTGCAAATCTGTCTATCTGCAAGCATTCCAAATGGCTAAATGCCCCCATCTAGATTATGGAGAGCTTAGCTTCACAATGGGCAGTGCACACACTGATGGCAGCTCTCCATCATTATCATAATAACTGGAGGGCTCGGCCTTCCGAATGCAGGAAGCAAGATGAGCTCCTGGCAAAGCGCGAGGGTGAGAATATATGTGAGAGTCCTCGCCGCCAATCCCATCTCCCCCTCAAGCAACAAGGCACGCTTTTGTTCTCCAAAATAAAAAGTTGAGGGAAGTTAAAAGGAGCTTATGTTTGTACAGTGTTATAATAACAAAAAGTTTGAATTGCATTCTCTTGCAGTCAGTTTGGCTAATTTAAAGCCAGGCTGCACAACATGTTACAAATTTACAGGCAAATACAAAGAATGCACATAACCAAAAGCATGTTCTTTCAATGTGTTTTGTGTTTCTTTTGGTGTAAAAATGTGTAGGATTAAAGAAATGTATTTTTTGTGGGGGATTATCCAAAATGATACCAGGTGCCCAATAGCTAAAAATCCCTGTCAGACATGTATTGAGACTTTTATGGAAATAGTGTAAAATGCGTTTTTTTTTTTTTACAAAAATATTAAATTGAATTTCTACATTAAAACCCCTAAAAAGTCATCTACTCCATCTACCTCATTACAAATTCAAGAATCTCTAAATATGCAAATGTTGTTCATTTCTAAAGTTTTCCTGCTGGACACAAAATGTCCTGTAAATTCTATTCTCAGTGTATTTATTCTCAGTTGCATACTGGACCAGGAGTACCGTTTTGAATCCTCAAATTTGGCATTATGTACCATAAAATTTGTTACTGCTGCTGTAATTAATTCTAATAGAATTAGAATTCCCTGAATCTCAATGCGGAGTCGAGCAAAAAGCTCGACAAGACAGATGTGTGCCGTGTTTTGCTCAATGATGGGTTAGTGAAGAGCTGATTTAAAAGCGGTCACTTTGAGCTGAAATCCTGTGGACTGTGATTTAGGGAATTTTCAGTGGCGTAACTGGGAAACTTTGCATGCTTTTGTCGTCATAGAAATAAGTTACAAGATTCAGATTTGTATTGCAACTTCAGAAATATCCCCAGCCCTGCACACTTACACAGTCTCTGTCTGTCTGTGGCACAGCAGCTTTCAATGTTGATGGGCGAATACATGTGACAAATAACCAATCAGATAGATGAAAGTTTCCTGTGACTGCTGGAATCAAAGTAGAGTGAGCTTCAAAACTCAACCCAAAAAGTAAATCTGCAGGCCATAAAACTGAAACGATGAGTTGACAGACGGTGAAAGGGTCATAGAGCTGTAGTGAAGTGATAATTTCACACATAGCCATTTGATCCATTGTTAATATGAGGATATGAATAAGTGCGGCTGTAAATCCTATGTTATTACTTTAACTTTAACATACAATCTATTGAGCAGGATTAATGTTGTAGTCTCTTGAGGACAAACTTACTTACACAATAGTCAGCATATTCTTGACTTTAGCGCCTGGAAATAAAACACACTTTATGACAAGGTGCAAAA